TGAAAACAGTTCCTTAGATTTCATCTTCTCTCTCTCTCTCTCTGAAGCTTTTTACCTTTTGTTCCTACTCCATCACACCCACCCCATGTTTTCAGCCTTAGCACACTTCTATGCAATTTTCGTCTGACTCCCCCACATTTATTAAAAGCAGAGGCTCTAGAGCCACATGATCTAGGCTCTAATCAGAACTCTGCAATGTGGAGAGAAGGGGGGAGAAATGACCCAAACATTGTATGCACATATGAATAAAAGAAATAAAAAAATGTTCAAAAAGATAGAGAATAGAACTAGAAAAAAAAAAAAGAACTCTGCAACATATTAGCTGTGCGACCTGGACAAGGTGCTCAACACCTCTGTGCCTCAGTTTCTTTCACTATAAAATAGTAGCTGGATCTGGAGAGGAGCAGATCCAGTTGATGGGAGGATGATGTTAAGCTGCTGTAATACAGGAAAAATAATTTTATGTAATGTGGCCGATTTCCAGAAGTGAGGTACATAGCTTCCTTTCCTTTTTTTCTTGTCATCCACAAAATATTTATTATAATAATTATGACAGTTAAGGATAAGAGATTTTTAGCATACTCAAAGTCACAATGATAAAATTCTAGTGAAATTATATTTAGTGCCTATTCACGATTCAATAGCATGTCACTTTTTAAAAAATGTTTTTGATTCAGCTAGTAACCACTGACTTAAAGCTCCAGCTTCTGTAGAATTCTCTTACAATGTATAATGTAGATTTTATGACAAATTATAATTGTATATAACTATGATGTCATATTATGTACACAGTATGGAGTGACTGAATGACACTAAACATCCATCACCTTACTTAACATGTTTTCCTCGTCTGATTGCAACATGTTGTCATCCTCTCTCCCTTTGGTTCTTGGTAACCACCATACTCCTCCTTTTAAGTGTTCCATTGTTTTAGATTACATATATAAAAGAACATCTGACTTTTGTCTTTCTGTGCCTGGCTTATTTCACTTAACATGGTATTCTCTGGATTCACCCATGTTGCTGTAAATGAATTTAGTTTTTTCAAGGTTGATTAGTATTCCACTGTGTATCTTCATTTGCCCTTTATCCATTCATCCTTTGATGGACACTGAGATTGATTCCATATTTGACTATTGCTAATAGTGCTGCAATAAACACAGGTGTGTGGAGAGTTCAACACACAGATTTCAAATTCTTAGGATATATAACCAGAAGTGGGATTGCTTGACAACCTGTCTCCAAAAAATACCCAACCTCCCACTTGTACTCAGGATATCTTTGTTACTGCTTCATTACTGGGGGACTGTCTTTTCTTTTTTGGTGCTGGGATCGAACCCAGGGCCTCGCGCATGTTAGGCAAGCGCTGTACCACCGAGCTACATCCCACCCCTGGAGGACTGTCTTTCTTGCTACAACTAGGGGCAAAGAAAGCACACATACACAAGCCAAAATTTAGGTGTAAACAACTGCCATCACTTCCACATATGGATTTTAATGGAGAAAGGTGAGAGGACAAGTAGAGCAAGTGCAGGAGGGATGGTATACAGGAGAAGTGGGAATGACAATGTTCTCTGCTTCTGCCAGTGCTTAGGGTTGGAGAACAGCAAGGAGACTTGGGTTGGATCCTGTCTGTCAGCATCTGTTCTGTCCCTTGCAACTTGGCAGGCTTCCCAGGAGCATTGTCACCTTGCTTCCTATTCTTAGCCCCACCAGAACAGAGTGGGGATGTGGGGATGAGTGGTACAGCTGGAACAGTGTTGTCCTGGAGTAAATGTCAAGCCAACTGGAAGAGTCAAGGTCAAGAACCTTGATGGCTTGGGGTCCAGTACCACAGGGTGAAGAGATGTTTTGCTCTCCTGGGTCTTTCTACTAGATCTTCAAAGCTGAGGAGCTTCTTGTAAAATGTTTTAATGATTTTCAATTTCTCTCCATATATACTTTCTTTCTAAAAAAAATTACTTAGGAGCAGCTACACTATATTGAAACATACTCAATTTTGAATTTGTTATCAAATACCCATTCCACTAAGAACTTACAATGGTGAAAATCTCCTTTCTCCAGACTTAAATGACACAGTTGACTATACTGATTTCTTCTGAGGCACCCAAGTGTGACATCACTTGACTGAGCACATCAGTCTTACAGGACTCTAAAAACACAGAATTTAGTCAGGGTCCTACAGATGAAGATTGAGCCCTCTGCTAAGTAAGTCAAGACACTCCCCATGCTGCTGCCCTCGGGCCCTGGGCCAGATAGTCCTCTTCCCGCCAAAACACCAACCCTTCACTTCCTCAACTGGCACTTGTGTGGACACGTAATGTCCCTAAGGTCACGTGGCACATTTGCCCCCACTTCCTTTATAGCCTGTTGTAATTACTCTGGATAAACATTTGTAGTTTCTGATGACTACCTGAATCATTGGTGTCTGCTATTTTCCATGATTTAACTATTACTTAATAGAGTACCCAATAAATGTTGATCTCTTAAGAGTGATTCATAGGGCCTTAAATTTCCCACTTATTGTGAGGGTTTCTGCCTTGAGCACTGTGTTCAAAGGTCATCAAGGCCAATAGCCTTCTCATCAGCAATCGATCCCTCCTGCTTACTGCACACTATTAAGTGCTGTCTTCTTTCTAGCCACTCATACTTCTGTTTCTCCACAGTTGGTGCTAAGAATTCCTTTAATTAGGACCAAATGGCACAAATCTATTACTTCTTGTGAATAGTCATCCCATCAACCAATTATGCTCCCAACTTCCACTCATTCCTGTTTGGGAGTCATTCTTTGTTGCTCAAATCTTGTCTGTTCAACGTCTGTACTTCCAAGTACATAACTGGGCAGAGCCAGCTTGTTTGTACTTCCTGTGAGGATTCCCTTCGAATCATCAGTTAGTTGCTAGTCATTTCAACTTTTCTTTTTTTCTTTTGCAATACTGGGGTTTGAACTCAGGGTCTATACCCTGGGTCATTCCACCAACCCTTTTTTTGTGATGGGATTTTTTGAGATAGGGTCTCATGAACTATTTGCCTGGGCTTGCTTTCAACTGTGATCCTCCTGATCTCTGCCTCCTGAGTAGCATGGATTACAGGCATAAAAGCCACTGGCACCCGGCTAACTTTTCTTAACTTCTAAGAGCCTCATCCAGTGGACTGCAGCTGTTTGTACTTAGGCTTCAGAAAGCAATGTCTCCCTTGGGTCCAGCCAGCATGGTGTCTACCACACAGGATAGGCATTCATGTTTTCTTACTGAATGTTCATTAACTAGTCTTCTAAGCAATGACCAAAAGAGCCTTTATTTTTGGTGTGATTTTTAAGTCATCTATCTCAGTTATCCTTTAACATTTCAGATGCCATGTCTGAAAATGTAAAATGGCTATTTTGCTTTCTTTTTTGCCTAAAGCCTATCAATTTGCAGATTTTTACTCTTGCCTGTGAATGATGTGTGGGGAAAAAAATTCCTGAGCAAGAAATTAAGATATTTTTTGTTATCTCTTAGAAATATTATACAAGCATTTACATCTTACATAAAATATTTTACATAGCCTTCACTGTCTTAGCAAAGTCAGAAAAAGTTAAGTGCTGTAATAAAATGTCATAAAAAAGTTTTGATTTTTCTACACCAACTTCTACCTGATATCACTGTTGAAATTATACCATTTTGTTTTGTGTGTGACACCATCCAAAACTAAGGATGTAAATTTTGGGTTCAAAAATGTGACTAAAGACTATAGACAGGTTCTCTGAGATTTTACTTTAAAATCACAATGGCATTTTATGGTGGCCATTTGGCATTTACATTTTTTGCTTAGGGAAAAACTAAACAAATCATCATTGGCCTCAAAACTTATGATGTTTTTACTAAGTGTCTGCACATTTAACCTTAACCCTATCAGACAGGTTCTGCTATTATCTTCATTCTACAGATGAGGAAACTGGGTACTGAGAGTTTAGTTGCCCAAGGTCATATAAGAAATAAGTGGAAGAGTGGAAGAGCTGAGATTCAAACAGAGGTAGTCTACCTTCATAGCAACCATCTCAAAAATCATACAGACCTCCTTTCATCCACTGACAACTTCCAAAAATAACTTTTCTGTATCAAAAAACTTACAATGTCACAAGAAAGGTAGGTAATGGTCTAAGGAAGACAGAAAGAAAATTCTGTTAGGGAAAACTAAAGAAGCACTATCCCAATTACACTTCTGTTTCATTTCCTAAAGACAGTTTGGTTTTGCTTCTTAGTGTTCAGTCTGAGAGGTAATGCAAGAAACCAACAGTTTCAGGAGAAAAACTGCTTTCCTAATGTCCAGTGTAAGGCACAAATGGGGCTTTGCTGACAAAGCCTTTAAAACTTGAAGAGATGAGAAAAGCAAGCATGTATTCAATTAGACATTCAATAAATATGCAACAAACTTCAGCAACTATAAACATTGTATACTTGAAAAAAGCAACATATCTTATGCTTTGAAGTATTCTATCTTGAGAATGAATAGTTTTAAGGATCACATTTTGTTTTAGAAGCTTCAAAAACAAAATGGACATATATGTAAGTCCATCAGGGACTCTCCATATTATTAACATTCTGGAGTGTCCTAACAACATGTAGTCAACACCGTAAAGACAGCACGGAGAAACAGAGCCAGATAAGGAACACCTGTGTCTTTGTTTCATAAACCAATGCAAAAACAGTGATCACTTGTTTCCAAATACTCAAGATGTCATTCACTGGGGCTCATCATATTCGCATAGTGCTAAATTCTAAACATTCAAAAAAAGACTACAGGTGACTACACCTTGCTCTGGTCTCTATACTAAATCCCGTGTCACTTAAGGATTGTTTAAAATACTCTGCACCCCCCAAAATATGTAGGCAATTAATTTGCTGAATTTTATTTAATCTAAGAAATTAAAAAATACTTATTCTCATAACACAAGCCTTAGTTTTCAAACTCATTAAAGCATTTTGGAATTATTCAAACATGAGAGTTGGAGATGGGAATGTTTATTTGGAGAGAACTACTGAATTTATTCTCTATGTGAAAAAGCGGGCCTGAAGGGTCACATTATTTTAACACTTTATACATGATGACATGTTCTTATCTTCTAAACTTCAATGAAAGCTGCTCCTCCAAACTGTGTAATGACACGTTCCCTACTGAACAGCAAGACATCTGATGTAGTGGAGAAGCCAGAAGCTGTCACTTCATTTCTTTCTGTTGCCTCCAGTTGCCAGCATAGTTGCAATGCGCATAAATATATTTAGCGTATCCATGTAGATTCCTAACATCCTAGAAAAGGAAATTATGCCCATTATGTATGATGCAATCCTAACAATGAATGACAAATTATTTCTTAGTATAGAAAGAAGAAAGCTGGATGCTGAGGGCTCATGTCTGTAATTCTAGTTACTTGGGAGGCTGAGATCAGAAGAATTGCAGTTTGAGGTCAGCCAGGGCAAACTGTTCGAGACCCCATCACCAAAACAACCATAGCAGAATGGGCTATGGAAGTATGGTGCAAGTATAGCATCTGCTTTGCAAATGTGAAGCCCGTCCCCACCCCCCAAAAACAGTTAACAGAAAACAAAAATGAAGGGAAAAGTAATATTATTATTATTTGTACTGGCTGTATGAAATAGAAATATTAATTCTTTATTAAGAATAAGATGTTTACTGCCAAATAAGGGAGTCCTAAACTAGAAAACAGGCAAGGCTTTCCCTCTGGCAGAATAATCTGTCAAGCGTTAAAGGCAATTTTTAAAAGCATTCTATTCTCTGACACTCTGCTGTGAATAAAGTATCTTACAGAAAACCCTAGGTGTTAGACAATGAAATAACTGAAACAAAACCAAAGAAACAGCTTTATAAGAACTTGTTAGACACAGTCTGGCATTTTAAAATGTTAGCTTCAACTCCCCTAAAGAAAGGTGCTATAAATCTGTAAGCTTTATAGCAACATTTTCTAAAACCATTACATTAAGTTCCATTTTTAGACAAAGGAAAACAAATTACTTAAAAAATGTGATAGACACCATAAAACTCTAGCAAATTGTTTAAATAATTACATAATACTAAATGCCAATTAAAGCTGAATATCTCAAAATATCCAATGTTTACACTGAAAAATTTTCATTTTTTAGAAGAGACTTTTTTCCTCTTAAAATTCTGTGTGAATTATGTATGTTTCTAATAAATAATGTATATGTACTTGAATAAATACTTAAACAGCATACACTCAGCTGCAATACAACAGTTTTTTTTGATATATACATAGTTTACTAAATAAAACAATAAAATTTGGTAAAGCAATTTGAATTGTGTCCCTCCCAAAAGATACATGCAAGTTCTAACTCTGGTACCCATAAATGTGACTATATTTGGAAATATAGTCTTCAAAGATGTAATTAAGATTCAAGTTAGGATGAGGTCATTCTGGAGTAGGGTGGGCCTTTACTCTAATACACTTGGTGGCCTTCTAAGAAAAGGAAAAAAGACAAGAGACAAATACACAGAGAAAATGGCAAGTGAAGATGGATACAGAGACTGCAGTAGTACATCTAAAAGTCAAGGATTGCCAGCAGTAACAAGAAGTTAAGAGAGACACAGAACAGATTCTTCCTTGGAGCCCGTAAAAATTAAGGTATTGCACACCTTGATTTTGTACTTCTGGCCTCCAGAACTTTAAGACAATAAATTTCTATTGTTTTAAGCCACCCAGCTCATTGTACTTTGTTATAGTAGCACCCTGGGAAACTAATAGAACAAAATAGGACAAATTAACACACAAACACACTTATGTAACAGAATAGCAACAGTAAAGATTACTTACGAATTGATGGGATCATATTTTTGAACTCCATACACTGGTGTTATTTCTGCACGCTTGATTACTTTCTGAGTATCATACAGAAGGAACATGCTGAAAAGAACTAATCCACCATACACTGCTACTGAGTACAGAGTAGCACCAGCCACAGTAGAAGGTGGAAGAAACATGGATCCTGAAATCAAAATAAGAAAAAAATTAAGACTTACTTTCTTTTTTAAAAAACAAATTCCGTGTAACTGGAATTGTAATTTGGTATACTGTGCAAATAGTACATGTACAGTCTAATCTTATTTATGTTAGTTCAAAATCCATGTTGATCATTCCTCCAATGGTTCACTTGTCCACATTAGAGGAAGATTCTTGCATTAGAGTAATTTTTATGTTCTTCAGACCATTTAAGATGTATTTAGTAAAACCAATTATAATTGCTAACCACATATCAAAATTTCTATAATGTTCAATAATAAATCCCAATGAAATTAGCATATATCTTTTAAACAACTTTCAAAATGACTCAATAAATTAAGATACTTGAGTATTTCAGAATTTAGGAACCAAATCCTAAGTATCAAACCTTAATAGCTTACCCAGTGAAGACACAAAGACAAGACCCAGGCCCACTCCCAGGGGTGCTCCCATGTTCAGAAACTTCTCACTGGGTGCACACATAGCCACAGTAGAGAGGCCTCCCACAATGCCGGCTGTGTACCATGCAGCTCTCACGAGAAGAGGTCCCCCCAGTACTGTCAGAGGAGCCACCACTGCACCCATCACACCTGAGATAAGAGTAAGTATTTACTATCAAAGGGAAAAATGTGACTTCAAATGTACTATCTTAATGTATATATACCTTATATTTAGCAATATGGTTACAAAAAGCTTTCCTTTTATATAATACAAATTCCACAATCCAAATCTGTGGCTATCCAAATTCTCACCAATACTAATATTAGTAACTATATGTATGTATACATTCAGCAGCTTTGTAAAATTCCATGTAGCTCATTATTTGGATCTGAGTCTACCACCAGAGGTTTTACATTTATACATGAGTTAAAACAAATAACTCAAAATCAAACCTGTTACTGCAGTTTATAAAAGTCGTTTTAGTTATCAGATTAAACATCTTCATAAAACTGCGTGAAAGATATATCACCAATTTAATTAACAAAGGTAAATGGAACTCCTCTATAGCACAAAAACCCTTAGATATTATTTCAGTGATGACATAATGTTGTTACCCTTTTCTTTTACTTCACAGAACTATCTTCATTTTTGATCTTCAATACTAGTGTGTCTACTGCGCAAGAGTAACATTTCTAGATCAAGTAATATGGTATGGAAAATTTTATGATGATTTAGAAATATCTTTTTGTCAAGGAAAGAAACTGAATAAAAACTTTCACAGATGGGGCTGGGGGCATGGCTCTAATAAAAGCATTTGCTTAACAAGTATGAGGTCCTGAGTTTAAACCACAGTACTGCAAAAAAAATTTTTTTTTCTACACATGACATTTTTACTAGGATTCCTATCCATTTTGAAATTAGCAGCAAAATTTTTAGCAACTTTTTCTACCATCAGTTTTTTCCGTTTCTAAAGATACTGAACAAAAACAACACTCAAGTGATATGTATCAGATCTGAAATTTTCCTGATACTGGACAAAATAGAAAATAGTAAATCTTTGCATATCCTAGCTTGTTTTAGGATACAAGTTCAATATTGGGGAAGTTCAGTCTTAGTTGGTATTCAGACCCAATCTTTTAAAGCAAAGATGTGGCAGTAATACAACCAGTAATGACTATAGAAAATTGTGTTTTCTAAACACAAGGTTTCACTAGATTATGTGTAAGTCATTAACAACTGTGTGGAGCCACTCAAAATGGGCAATATTCACAAACTGGTTCTGGTGGTATATTTCTGTACTCCCAGCACTTTGGAGGATGAGGCAGGAAGATCATAAATTTTTGGTGAGACTGAGCTACAAAATAAAATTCTGTCTTAAAAAAAATAGCCAAGACTATTTAATAACAATTTAAAATAGAACATACCAGAATGCAGTAACCAAGCAAGATGTTTTGGGCCTGGGCTCTGATCATATGGTATGCTCTGTACCAGCATTCCAGTTCCAATCATGGCTGCAAAGGTTGCACCAATTGTCTGAAAGACACATCATTAATAAAAACAAATCCTTAAATAAAGTAGAACCCCATAAGCCTCAAGTACAATTAGTTACATCTAACAAACCAGTTTTGAAAAGGATAAAAAAAAAAAAACAAACACTGTATTTTCCAGCACATTAAAAGGCATTGGGTTTATTTCAGCTTGGGCTAAGTTAGCAACAGTGCCCCCTACTGTCATAAATTAGGTTAGCACACAACTTCAAGTTCCTAAGTAGAGCTTAGACTGACATTGTCATCTTTTAACAATTGTATTCTTGTTGGACAGAGATGAAACAAAATCCTGTTAAGAATCACAGGATAATTATTCTTGATTAAAACCTGTATTTTTCTATAACACAAATAATATTTTCTTTAAAAGTGATCATGACCTACTAATTAAAAAAATACACACACACACACGGCCTTGAACTATACTTATTTGCTAAATGTAAACATGGGAAACAGAACACAGTAAATATTACTGTGGCACATGGAAAAGAATATTAGAAATAAGATCCCTTTATGGCTGATTTGTAGATAACATTAATCCCTTATGTGATACCAGGCCTACTCACTTATAGGTCTGTCTGACCCATTGGCATCATAATGTTCAAAACAAACTACAGGTAAACAGAACAGCTATTTTTGTACAGGGCAAGAAAACCCTAATCAATGCACAAAAACCGACTGGGTTACATCCACCATTTTCCAATGGAGAAACAATTACTAAAACTACTTCATACTGTTTTTCAGGATATTTACTTCAATTATATTTCTTTCTTTAAAGGTCCTTCATGATTCAGCTGCATTTTTTTTCTTTAACTTTTCCACATTCTGCATTCCACCTATACTTCTTACTTTGTCTCAGCTTTACTAATAACTCCTATGATCATTTGAACAAAAACTTGTTTATTAAAGTATTCTTCCATTTAATTCACCCCCACCTTTCATTTAATCATTTTTTTTGTTTGTTTTGTTTTGTTTTGATGGGACTGGGGTTTAAGAGCTTGTTTGGATGTTTTGGAAGAGGAACACAGCTACTTTTGTGTACCCTTGAACTGTCTTCCTCTATTGGGGATGGTTTTCTTCTTTGACTGAGTGCCCCAGCCTTGGGAGGGACACAGGGACCCACATGGATCAGTGAGGAAGGAAGGGACACCCACCTAGCCAGCCAGATCATCCAAATCAACCTTGGTGGTCAATGGGATGACAGATGTAGAAGCCAGATTGTCCTCACATCTCCGGCCTGGGGTTTGAACTCAGGGATTCGTGCTTGCAAAGCAGGCATTCTACCCAGTTGAGCCATACCTCCAGTTCATTTTTTTCTGGTTATTTTGGAGATGTCTTCTAGATCTTAATCTCCCAAGTAGATAGGATTGTAGGCATGAGTCATTGGTGCCTGGCTTCATCCAATCTTTTGATAAAAATGTAAAATGAAAACGAGCCAACTTACCACCCAAGAGCCTCTCATCATGAAATTCATAAGAGCAGGAGTTCTGGTTACTGCCAAGGCAGACAAAGCTGTTAAGCCAATACTTCCTGCTAAGTACATATAAGTAGAATGAATTCTATCCTTCACATATTGAGGCCAAATTCTGTAAGAAACATGACCTGGTTAGTTTATGAAACTATGGATGTGAATTCTGGCTAAATCATTCAGGAACTAGATACTTATTTAGGTTTGAATAATTACATGCCAACGAAACAAAGAAACTCTATTTTTATTAAAATATGTATACAAAACATTTTAAAAGTGAATACAGACTAAAGAATGAGAAGAAAACTGGAACTTTTTTTCCATTTAGCTCAGCAATTTCACACATAGGTGAGTTTTTTTTTTTTTTTTTGACAAAAGTCAGATTGCTTTAGCTTTTATAAATGTGTAAATGTTCCTTCTGCAGCAACTACCTAAATTCTTGGGTCCTAATTTTAAAAACTAGACACTGAGGAAAAGAATTATCAATGAATGCTTATGTAAATATGTGGAGAAAATAAACTACACTCTTCATAGAATTAACTGCTAAGGAATTACCACAGAATCAGGTCAGTTCTGTGGAGTTACAATCACAGCTACATAAAAACGGCAACATTTCCTATAACTCTGAGTTCTAGGCAGAGGAGTTTCACCAACTGAACCTCTTCTCTGTAAATATCCTGGTTTTAGTTGTACCATTCTGTTCCTTAGGACTAGATCTATTGCCATGAGAGCTTCTCTTCAGGGAAGCAGCACTGAGAAAAAAATATAATCTTTCAGAATCATAGGATAATACATTATTACCTACTCCTTTCATGGCTCTCATGTTGGAACTCTTAAAGGAGAGTTTTGGGATTATTTTGGAATAATTTACTTACACAGCCTTTTCAATAGCTCCAATTTCATTAGACATTCCCAAGCCATAGTAGCACAGTGCTCCAAGACCAACAGCAGCCCCTCCAGCAACAAACCATCTTCCCATCTGATCAACTGCAGAAAACAGGAGGAAATGTGTTAGTACTGCCATGTCTCAACTAAACTAAAATGTTGTGGGTAAGGCCTTCACAACATTCATGAAGGGATCAAGTCACATATTGTGTTTCTTCATATGTAGCTAGATACAGAATATGTTCTCAAAGTTAGAAGACCAGTAAAAAGGATATCCTTGAAACAAAAGTGTAATAATCACTATAGGAAGAAAACACCAAGTCGGGCATGGTGGTGTACATATATAATCCCAGCACTTAAGAGGCTGGAACAGGAGGACTGTGAGTTCCAGAGCAGCCCAGGCTACATAGTGAGACTACAGCTCAAAAATAAAAAACCAACTAAAATAAAAAAAGGACAGTACCAGACCTGGTTAATCTTCTACTTCATTCCAACAATATTTGAGTAGTTATTTGCAGATGTGGAAATCTTTCTGTGATACACACTACTGTATTAATGTCAGTTTGGAGTATTCTTATCAAGTTTTTGAAAAGTAAAAAATGAAATCCCAGCATGTGGAAGACTAAGATAGGAAGATCATCAGTTTGAGGCCAGCCTGGGCTACATAGTGAGACTTTGTCTCAAAAAACTGGAAATAAAGTAAAAAATATAAGAGGAATTGCCAACAGTCACTCCACATGGTGTCTAAAGTGGTATTAACAAAGATGAAGCCTGACATGTATTAACAAAGAGAACCAAAGAACAAAATTGTAATCAGTCTTTATGCAGTGGAGCTGAGGGAGAGGATGCTCATTTTAGAGACAGTTTAGCAATTCTATCTTGATGGAGATAGATGGAGCATCTTACTCCCTTCAATCTAAATTTGTTCACTCAGAACGTTACTATGCAATTCATGATTTGTTCTCTAGGGTCAACCTTCTCATCAGAAAGAAATGCCCTGAGAAATACTGATTAGGGCTCTCTCCCACTGTATATACTGACATTTTCCAAGACTGTTAAGGAGCAGTGGTATTTTTGATCAGCTTTGGGAAGATAAGCAATCTAATTGCAAAGCTGAAACATCCAGAGTGTGAACTAAAATGACTTCATTAATGTAATGCCCTCCTGAACAGCCCTAAATGGGTAGCTGGAAGACTGTGCTTAGATTAAGTAGGCCTTTAATAACATCTATGTTCTGGTGACTTATTTTTGTCCTAAGACATACACAAATATTACATGCTTGAATGAAGATTTTACACAACTTCAAATTAACTTCCTTAACAGATCATGGCACAGCAATAATCTTTTTTTTTCCCCCTAAAAAACGTGAAAGCAAAATTTTCATTGGAAAAACTTTACCTGGGAACTTCTGAATCTAGTGCAAAGTACTAATCTTTTTGGAGCCATCAGATCCCCAAGAGTAGAAATGTGGTCGTTATTCCAGAAAATGCACATACATGTAAGTTTACATATATTTTTAGGTTTTTTTTTTTTTTTTACCTTTTAAGACATACCCATGTACTTCAGATTAAAATCTAAAGACTGCCACTTACTTTTAAACATTTTTTCCATTGATGGTTCCAATGCCGCCTCTTTGAGCTCTTGGCCAGTTTTCCCACGGCGGATCCCAATTCTTGTCTTGGTGGCATATTCCTGATATATATGCAAACAAAGACACATATCACCCTCATCAAAACAGTATGTTACTAAAACACAGATCTCTTTCATACTAGAAAATTCTAGCTAAAGAAATTTAGTGATGTCAGTATAAAAGTTGTATAAAAAATTTTATTTAAAAAGTTGTGAAAAAAATTACTGTAGACTTACTTATGCTCCATTTTTGAAGTGATTCATTAATTTATCACACACTTTTTCATGTGTGTGTGATGCTGGGGACCATACCCAAGGCCTCATGCATGCAAGCACTCTACTGAACTCCACTCCACCTGCTCTTATATATATTTCTTAAAGCTTAAATTTCAAAATAATTTCCTTTTATAAATTATAGTTTATATATCTAGAATGTCTTAAATACTAACCAAATACCAAGACAAGAATCTATTAACATTTAAAAAATGCATTCAATAAGTATCACCTGTATTCCATCATCTGGGAAACAGGCTCAAGAAAAGTCTCTCTTCTGAACATAAATTCAAAGGGAGGCAGGACTACTGCATTTCCTCTATGCCCTTCCTTCCTTCATCCCTCCCTCCCTCCTTCCTTCTTTCTTATACAGTAGAATACACTGTAGAACAGTTCATTTAAAAGGGAAAGAATTTGTCTTCCTTTACCTACTTACAAACTTAACCTACCACAAACTTAAAAACTTCTACTCATTTGAATGCTAGAGGAGAAATCTGTTAGCTGGGCATGGAATGGCACATGTCTGCAATCCCACACTGGGGAGGCTGAGGCAGGAAGACTGCCAGTTGGAGACCAGCCTGGACAATATAGTGAGACTCTGTTGTAAAAGAAAATGGGCTTCTTTCTAACTTTGTCATTCTCCAAACAAAAGCTGCAATAGCATCTTTATTAGCTTATTAATAAGCTTTTGGCCAAATGGTATTATCTCTGGGTGCTTAAGCATCTGACTATAGGCTCTATGCCAGATCTTTGTTGTATCGCATACCTCTCAATTTTTCACTATTTACTCTCAATTTTCTGAGTGAGAAATTTCAAGAGCTGTAAGTAGTTACAGTTATAGAAGTTCTTTTCTGCTTTCTTCAGTGATAGGGAGGGACCAGAATGATAAAACATTGATGGGAGAGAAAGAACTGGAGACATTATTGTTATATTAAATATTTTAGTAAATTATTAACTTTCAGTAAATCACTAAAGGCAGCAAGCTTCATACTCTGCCGAAACCCCAAAAACCCAAATTCCTTATCAGTTCCAGGTGCAAGAGCAGAGAGAAAAACAGACCCTATAAAAACATTCATATTATCTTTACCCTGCTGGGTGTTAAGAGCCATTGATTCTTTGTGATGGAATTCTTCACAACAGGGGAGGCCTTGGTGAAAGTTGGGTGGAAAACCCTGGAAGGTAGTGTCCGGAGACACACAAGCCTTGCAGCCAGCATGATGATGCACCAGGTTTACCAAGTAGATCTGAAATGCAGTTAGGAAGACAGACAAAAACATAACCTATTAACTAATTTAGGGATGGATAAACATGGGCCAAGACTAGAAGGAACAAATTATTTTTCAGGAGAAAAAAATGGAAGAAAGTGAACTCCTTAATTTTCACTGAATCTCCTGCTTGTCTTTTAACTCCAGAAACCTACCCCACACAAATGAGTTTGGGATGGAGCCACCAAATTAGTTTTAAATCCCAGTTTTAAACAATAGGATGTATGACTCTGCAAAAGTTATATGTAGTTACATACATGTAGTTATATATATGTAGCTATATGAATTCTATTATTCAATGAGAAAATTTAGAAAGAGGAGTCTGCATAACAACACAGGAAAAGTGTCATCTAATGAAGAAATGAGCAACTCTTGGAGTTGGACTGTATGACAAGAATGAAAGATCCTAACGGGGGCCAAACATAAATTCAAGTTAAGTATGTCAAAAATTGTTTCTTTCAGGAGAAGACATGGAGATGTTCAACTAAATTAACCTATCCCATATGCCTTTCTACACCTAAAGAACACTCAAGCTAAGTAAAGTAAGTTACCAACCAGGTTTCTCTCATGTTATACTCCTTCAGTGGTGTCCCCAATAGAAAAACATGCTAAAAGTTGGATTCTCTCAGCTGAAGGGCAGACTGAAATGACTATCATAGTTTCGAAGGAGATGACAAGCATAAGACAATTTGGCCTACCAGCCCAACTCTGCCAATGATTTGTAGTTAATCTCAGGCAAACGACTATCCTTCTGTCTCACTTTCCCCACCTGTAACATAAGAAAACGACCAAAACAGTGTTCAGACTACAAGGCCGACCCTTTAACTACCTGCTTTCGAACTGCCCAAGACGTTTCTTCAAATGTGGACTCCTGGGTCTTACATTGCGCCTAATGACTTTACCTCTAGAAAGAAGACCAGGAATATGTGCTTTAACTAGCAGCCCCGAAGCTAAGAACTCTTGCTTTAAAACACCCGCGTGTCTTTGGCTCTGCCAAGGGAACTATGAAGGTTGTACAACGCTGCGCATCCGACCTTTGGGAAAAACGCTTTTATGCCATTACATCATCTCGTCCTGTACCTTCCTCAGTCCTTAGGACAGTGACCAGGGCAGAGGCCCGAGGCCAGCGCACAGTGGGAGTCTCACTTGTGCCCCCTATTCTAAGTGGCCTTGTGTGGGTGCTGAACCTCTGAAACCTACCGCCCCTTATATCGGGCCGTACGCTTCCGAGACCCCGATGAACCGGGCGTCTGGTCACCGCACAGTCCTACAACACCCCACCTCTGCTATCAGCCAGGCGGAGGCTGTGCGGCGGGGCCGCGGGGGTGACTCAGCGCCTCGCTGCCCAAGAACAGGCAGCCAGCCATCGGGTGCCCGGTCCGCATTTCCTGCACCCCATGGCGCCCCTGCCCTCCTCCACGGGGTCCTCCGCAGAACCGTGACCCAGACGCACAGCACCGCCATGACGCGGCCAATGCGCAGCGGCCTCCAGCCCTCCCCAGCAGCATCAGAAGGCCCCGCAAGGCCCGCCGTCAGGAGCAATGTCGGAGGAGTCTCACGTCCACTCAGGGCAGCAGTACCTCAGTTACCGGCCACCTCCACCATGAGTTCCCCTTCCGGGCCTGCGAAACGCGAATGCCCTACCCCTTCGGCCTTACAGCCTCTGCGCGCAGTCCCGCTGGCTCTCTGCGTGATGCAACATCCGGAGAAAAGGTAAATAGTGCAAGCAGCCAATCATGAGCAGACATAAGACGGAAAGGCGGAAACAGAGGGGAGGCGGAGTTTTGGCCTGGTGGGGCGGAACCAGTGGAGGAGAGATAGCGGTTGGAAACGTCACAGTCAGCATCCATTTTGGGTATGGGCATGACGCCATCTACGCCATCTTAGCTCTGGGCAGCGGAGCTCTCAGGTTTTCTTTTAACCCTTTCACTCGCAATAGGTACATAAGTTTAAAAGTGAAGAATAGTGTCACGATAGAAAATTACGTCTTCGCCTCATGTTTTTCTTATTGCATTTTTGCCTACTGAATTGTGAGATAAATCTTGCCAAATATGTCAATTTCTGACTGGAAAAAATCTGATGTCAGGTCACGTGAAATTTAGAGTTTTTTTTCTTCTTCTAGATTCATTTTTATTGCTTTGTGATTTTTTTTCCAGGGCGTTCCCCTCCCCCCCCCCACGCTTCAGTCTATTCCTGCATAATAGAGCATATGCAAAGGACTCTTGTCTTTTACCCAAGGGCTTTTTTGAGGACTACTCAGATGCTTCTGATGGGAGTAATTTGTTATGTCAGAGCCATTTCTCATTAACTCGTGGGAGTCTTTTGTTGTTTTTGCCTTTGTTTTTATTTTTCACTCTGTCTTATTATATGTTAAATATTTACAAGAGGCTCATTTTGAGCCAAGCACTAGTAGAAATATATACAAATGATCAAAATACAAGGGTACCCCTGTTTTGGTGAAATAAAGCCTTTGGCTTTCAGGGATCCACTTTCTGGTGGAGAGTGAAAATATAGACAAATATAATCTTAGGTGATGATAATGTTGTGTGAATCTCAAGCTTTGATACGGGACACTGAGGCAGTTTAGCTGGAAGCAACGTTTTATTGTGCCAGCACAGACTCAGCAGACTTGTGTCCAAAGGCTGAGCCCCATGAACAAAGAGGTCTCACCTTATATACCCTTGCAAGCAGGTTACAGAAGCAAAAAGCAAAGCTCAGCCCACATATGGCTGCATGTGACTTCATTGGCTATTTCATTTCCCCAGTACTTTGTGACCTTTTTCATATTTTAATTTTTTAAGTTTTCTCTCTTTGCTTTGTCATCCCTTCCCCCTGCATCATTATCAGAACACAGCCTGTCTGTTTCTCTTCTGGCCCTCCTCCCTGCTACATCATTCTTCCTTTTGATGCTTGGACCCACCTAAGGTCAAAGAGCATCATCTTGATCTAGGGGTTTGTATTTTTGTAGCATCATTATATGTGTGGCCATTGTTTTTGTTTTTGTTTTATAGTAGCCTCCATAATGGTCCTGATAGACCACAATACCAGGGGGACCAGGCAGGGTATTATAAAGCATGCTCCTAGTAAAAGACCCATCACCCTTTTTTAATGACAAATGTAGTCTGTATTGTTTTCTTTACTTTGGGACTTTTGCTATCATTTATCGGTAACCTCATTAATCTGGGAGTATATGAGCCGATTTAACATCTGAACTGTTGGTGGGCGCATGATACAAAGTATGGCTGTGCAGAGGTCCCAACAATGGCTGTCTTATAACACTTAGTACATGGGAAAAACCTTATAAGGGCCAACCCAAAAGGTAAGAGTCCAAGTGTGTAGAGGAGAGCAGGGATGAGTCCCATGTTTGAGCTTCCTCCATGTGTAGACTAGTCATCTTTTGGAATGACTAGAGCAGGGCTGTTGTCCTGTTGTTCATGGTCCCCTGTTGTCTCCTGGGAAACGGATGTTCTACAGGGTGAGCTTGGATGGTGAGGCTGAGTCAGGGACACACTCCCACTTGGGAGAGGCTGGCTTTACTTGGCTATACTGGATCCAGGTTATTTTAACTGTATTGGGGATAGAAAAGACAACAACAAAAGGGACCCTCTAATAGGGTCTTAATGGTTGGACATTTTATTTTTTTACCCAGACAGTACCTTTTTTTTTTTAACTGAGTAGAATTACCATGGGAACAATATATTATCAGTATATATGTCTAAGAAAACTCATTGTTTAAAAAAGTTAAAACTACCATCTTTAAATATCAAAGGACATGTTTAGAGCCAGTAAAAATAGTCATTTTGTCTTTAAGTAGAAGATTCTGTCTAAAAATAGGAGTTTGTGTCTGGAAGGGCTTTAATGCCTTGTGGCCACATGTGTATAAGAACCACTACCTCAATCTAATCAGCCTAGGTTATTTTTGAGAAGTCTGGCATGAGCGACTCCATTTGAACTTTGAAGGCATTTCCCCCTTGTCTCCAAACTGTGTGTCTCTGAGCAGTTTCTTTTGAAGATTTGTCTCCCATTCAAGTACTAATCAGGCCCAACCCTGGTTAGCTTCTGAGCCCAGATGAGATTGGGCACGTTTAGGGTAGTATGGTCATAGACTGAAGATCTTTCTTGATTGGCCTCTTTTTTTATTGTGAGGATTTGCTCTTTCCTAGATTTTGTTTGTTTGGTTTTGGTCCAACTTGGGGGGGTGGTGGTGGAAATGAGCAGATCATGTAGGAGTGACTGCCAACTAGACCCTTTTGGCCAAATTTAAATAACAAAGAGGCTTAGGAGGAGTGGCCCTTAGGCAATGGGCTTTTAGACAAGGACAATACAAAACAAAATCCAACAAAAGCAAATATCTAAAATGCTAACCTGGCTGACACATAGGCACTCATTAAAGTCATTTTTTTATGGATGTGATTGTAAATGCCCAAGAAGGATCAGAACTGTAATGACAAAAACTTAAAACAACAATGTTTAAAATTTCGATGGACAATTTAGCAACTAACAGAACAGTATATCAGTACCACTAACTTTTTGTTACTGTGTTCATCTAAATGCTGTTTTTAGAAGGCTTAAGGAACCAGCAATAACATCACAGCTCTATAGAGGTTATATATACATACTAGTTTAGTTGTTGTTCTTGAAGTAAAACTTTAGATTTTTTATCAGTTGTAGGAGGGAAAACAGTTTTAGTAAACCCAGATATCCCAGTCACAGACACATATAGGGCATCAACTGTATTAGAATCATCCAAGAGAACAATCATTTAACCATGAGGACATCTAGAAAATTTTGCATAAACTGTTAGAAAACAAGAGGCATGGAAGAGGCAGAGAGACAGCTCAAGCACCAGCACAGGGTTTATTGTTCAGGCAGGAGCCCTGTGGAGGGGGACCCCAGAAAGAGAGCTAGAGCCCACTGCCATACACAGGCTTGGGCTAGATATAGGGGACTAGTGGAAAAGTACCAGGAAGGTCACTAAGGGATACTGTTGCTGGTCACTGTCTGCTCAACTGACCTTGGCATCCATCAGGGAGATAAAGGTTACAATTGTCCCTTTGTCAGTTTTTGGGGTTGGATGGGGAATTTTTAGTAAGTCATCTGCAAGGGGAAAAAGGGTTTGGTCCTAACATGGCTCTCCTTATTGTTAACCCCAACATAAATCAATCCTTAAATGAACATGACTCAGTTACCTTAGTAGATAAAACCCCAACAAAAATCACCAGAGGATGCAGGTAAATATTTATGGGGACTAAGTGTGTAGTTAGGAAACCTAATGGCCAAGAATCATGGCTCAGATGTTGATAAGGATCACATCCCAGATTGTTGGCATTTACAGACAGCTCATGACATACAGCAGGATCCCATCAACCTGTAGTCAATGGAGTCCCCCTAAAATAATAGGTCCAATCTGGCCATACCACGCCAAAAATTCCCTCTGCTTGCCATGTGGAAGGTATAGGTCTAACATTTCCACTCTATTGACTCCAATAAAAACTGGAGGTCTTTACCTCCAGTGTAGTGCTCCTTTTTGAGTTTCTTTTTATTTACATAAGTAAATCTGTCTCAACCCTCATATCAGTGCAGCAGTGTTCCCTGTGCTCAGCTGTCTCCTGCTTCTCTGTGTTTTCATAAACTCTTGTTTTGATAAATTTGTGGATTAACCTGTAGCACAAAAAATTTCTGATAGTTATCTTGACAAAACAAAAACCATTTTTAAGACAGTTTTTGTGAATGTTATTAAGAACAATATTTTTAAGATAGTCTTTTTGTTACGAGCTTAGAGAATTAAGTTTTAGTTTAATATTAGTACATTAAGTTTTGACCTTACAAAACCTTTAACATAATTGAATTTTAGTCAACTCAATCACTTATAAGCATTTATAAGCTCCATCTTTTTATGACAACTTACTCTGTACCTTTATGACAAACTTATTTTGTATCCCCTGGGGAGCTTGTCTTTATCTTTTTTTTTTAATTTAAAAGTATTTTTAACATTTTATTTTTAAAAACCATATCCTTAATACTATATATATATATATATGTATGTATATTTATATGGAAAAAAACAGAAAGAAAGAAACCTTAAAATTATTTTTTGCATAAAAAATTTATAAAAAGTCCATTTATGATGATTCCAAGATGGTGGCTAGAGGGAGGAAGCAGAAAGTGTGCTTCCTAAAGTAAACTCTTGGAGAGATGCTGGAGATACACCTGGCAGGAAAAAACACCAAGAAGAGGCAAAACTCTGACACCTGCACACCCCAAGCCTGTGCATAGCATCCCCACTCCACGTTAAACAGAGAAACAAGAAGGGATCCCATGTTGCCAGATGCCAGCTCCTACCCTGCTTGGGAGACCACCAAGTGAGCAAATAAGTGGCACGTGGTACTCCCTGAGACAAATCGGCATACCCCCTGGACAGACTGACCCAGCCCTGGGAAAAAAGAAAAAAAAACCAAACTGAATAATAAGCAGCTGAAAAAAAAAATCATACCAAAGAGGGCAGAGCACCCTGAGCTCCAGAGAGTGGGGGAGGGGCAATCCCTCATTTGAACTGTAAATAAACAAGCTGGAGAAGGCAGGAGTGGTGCCACCTCCCCCAGTGTGCTTGGAGAGGAGAAGGCATCCAACAGCAGCTAAAGTGTGGCATGCCCCACTGGAGAG